GTGTGAGTGGAAGTGATGCCAAAAATGCCTTAAAATCTGATGCTTGATGTGGGAGGGAGACTTAGAGATATCAATGTGTGGTAGTTTATTCCAGAGCCGAACAATCCGATGGAAGTAGAAATGGTGTGATTTGGAAGTACGATTGTACTTGTGTTTTAGTTTGTGATGTGTATTGGACCGAGTAGAAGAGGAGCAGAAGGAGACAAATTGAAGAATTGACATATTATCAGATGGGTTTTTAAGGGCATTGACTAGATACATTAGATCGTTTAGTTCCAACCAATACATAAGAGGAAGTAGATCTAGAGCCAATAATCGTTCCCTATATGAGGAGGAGTAGTCTCCCAGAATGTATTTCGTTGCCCGGCGTTGTACCCTTTCCAATATCAATATGTCTTTCTCCAAATATGGCCGCCACAATTGAGAACAGTATATAAGCTTTGACCGTACCAGTGAGATATACAGCCTCCTTTTGATATATTATTATTATTATTATTATTATTATTAAAACTTTACAGACTCTACAGACACACAATGACACAAAGAAACATGAAAGACTATAATTAAAAGGGTGAGCCTGAAGGACACATACCAACTTGTGGCAGAGCCTTAAGAAACTAACTATATATAATACATGTATAACTATGAAGCTTGTTTAGTTTTAAGACGAGACCGGGCAGCTATGGGAGTCCACATTCTAATCCTAGGAGTAGCCAAAAACAGACCTGGTTGACAACCAGGTCTGTTTTTGGCTAGAGTGGTTGACCATCACGAACTGAGTAATGAACACTAGAAGAAGGAGGGATATCCATTAGACTTTCGGTGTCAGAATCAGAATCACCGGATTGCGGACTGTGAGAATGAGAAGTACGTCTAGTACGACCTCGTCTGACTTGACGTACTGGGGTCCAGTCTTTGATTCCTGATTTGGTAGTGTACGTAACCCCAGAAATGCCATCTTTTTCTATATATATAGCTTCTTGAATTTCAACCCGAGTGAACTGTAGGTAGTCTAAAGGTCCTAAACTCTCTCAAATCACTCAGTTTACATCTAGGCAACAGTATTTGTGCCATTATAATGTCATATAGCGCTTATAACAAGAGAAAAATCTGAAACTTCCTTCTTGTTTCCATCTAAAAATTAATTAATTGTTGATGATGTATGCCACACCTCCAATTTGGGAGTAGCTGGATTAGCTTGCATGCTGCTACTTCTGCAGGTAGTCTGGTAGATCTATGCAAGCTAGCTGCTATCCCTCAGGAGTACACTTTTTATGTATACATGCAATTTGCATGCTAAAGCTCTTTTAATTTTGATAATCAAACAGCTATAGGGGCGAGGCTACGCACCGTAGGTGTCTCGTTTTCATGTACTTTGGACTGAGTCAGACAATTCAATCTTAAACAACATTGCATGTGTGGCCTATAATAAACTCACTATTACTACTAGTAGAGTATTTTAATATCTTTATTCCATTATACCTTTGTAATGTATTATGATAAGGTATTATAGAGTTGCACAAATATTCAATGGTGCATATTCAGGCTACTTTTGCTTCTTTAGTAACATTTATGTCTACTCACACTTGTATGTTTAAAATGGCAGTAGGAGTGCATTCTGTATAATTTACTATTGTAGTTTTTCCTCTAGTACTTAATACATCATTACAAATAAGTTTCAAAATATTCTTCAAAAGGTGACCTGGTCAGATGAAGCAACATATTTTACAGTATTGCTATATCATACATTGGAAGTGTACATAAGAGGAAATAGTTTATATAGTATGTGAACTTACCTTTTCTTCTGTCACTTACATATTCCTAACAATTATCTCCTCATTACTGATATAGATATAGCATTGATGCCATGGAACAGCTAGTACACATTATACTTTCACCATTACATGTAAATTTTGTATGTTAAAATGTTAGCAATCTATTATTGACAATGACTGATTAGAACAGTATTACCGGTATGTACATGTGTATGCTTTTCATAAGAAACACAGAGAGTGAGTGAGAGATAGGAGGAGAGGGAGGGAAAGAGAGAAAGAGAGAATGAGAGAGGGTGAGCCATAAAGTGATAGAAAGGGGAGGAAATGTGATATACTTGTTTACCATTATATGTACACAGTTCCTAGTAAAGAGGGAATGATGAATATAGTCTGAATAATGTTATCATGTGCCTAAAGTTTAAACTACTCACCTCTCCCAATCTCATGCTATAATACATACCATGTACATGTGTTTTGATTTCTTTAGTTCATAACTGGTACCAGACATACTTAGCAGCTGCATGAATAGAAAATTCTTTCCATGGGCCACAGTTCATGTCACCATCTCCCAATCAGCAAATGATAACTGTACCTTTAACGTCCTTAAAATAGCAGCTGCTTCCATTTCACCTCCAAGTGCTTGTAGGACTGCACCTTGTGCTTCAACTTTGTATTATTGGGCTGTAATAAACAACAACTAGTTGAATGCTTGTACTACTCCACAGTGCCATCTTCCTTAGCTATAGTTGGACAGGGTAATGGGGATTTTCCCTTCAAGCATGCTTTATTGTAGTATCATGATGTTATTAATCAAGTAAGTGTTAAAACTTACAAAAAACCAAATAATATTTACTGCTATGTAAATTGTATGCAACTAGCTATTACTACTACATTATAATTATTTTACTTAGGAAAAAGACGAGTCCAGTTCATTGTATTTAATAACATTAGTCTAATATACTTCTGCAACTTGTGCATTGTTCTTCATCAGCTTTTCATTTCAATGTTTTGCTTCCTATACATATACAGGATATATAAATTATACATCATTTCACTCACTGATGTAATCAGCTGTTGAGCTTTGATTATAATCTTCAAGAGCTTTAATTAATGTGCTCCATTTTGCTCCTCCTTTTTCATTTACATCATCAGCTTTCTCCAACCATTTCACCAGACACTCTCTAACACACCCATTAGTATCTCGTGGATAATCTGCCTTGATGGTCTTCAGTGTGTCATAATATAAACCCAAACCAAGGCCAAAGTCAAACCATTCAGCATTTGAAAATCCACCCTCTTTAAGCAACATTCGTACATCATGTAAATGTGTTGTGTTCAATAAACTATCTTTCTTTATATCTGTAATTATATAATTATTATTAAACTCTTATATATATAATTTACCTGCTAAGCCAGAGTCAGGTTTAAGACCAAACCAGCACCAGTAAGTCTCATCTTTTTCACTGATATCATTTGAATCACACAATATGCAATTTGCTACCTGATACTCTTCATCTACAACACAATAGCAATGCTCTTTCTCAGTTGGGCAAGGAAATGCGTTTGCATGATTCCGTTTAACATTGATGGCATCAGAACTTTTATTAATAGTTGTGGTAATGAGCTCACGGACTTGTGGACAATAATAGTTCTTAGGACCATTGAAATATATTTCAATATGATTGGAGCGATTATTGATAAAATAGAGTGTGCAACGCTTTCCTTCAATGTAGATCCAAAGAGACAAGGCATCACGATACTTTGGGTGTCGAGTAAACTCTACCTTGTATTCTCTCTGTTCCAGCAAATGAACATAAAATAAGATAAAAATTCCTTGAGGAACAAGGACAGCATTTTTTGATTCCCATTCATCTTCCTGTTCTAGCCACACATAATAAAGAGGCTTTGTGGTTACATTAGTAATATCATAGTTATTATTGTAGGCAGGTAAAGCAGAAGGAAGGAAGTAACTATCTCTAACCTGGTCCTGGCTTTTTAATTTACTAATAATATGAAGATGTCGAAGCAGATTAATGAAGTAGCCTGGTGTAAAGTCATCTGAAAATACTTTTTTAAACTTGTCAAGAATAACTTGCTCAAAAAGGCCTGCCTTTTTAAGACGCTTCATCTCAGATTCAGTTACATTTGTTGCCAGTAATTGTGCTGTTGGATAATCAACATAGGTGAGAGCTAACAAATGGGAAAGAACATCAAGAATTTTCTGAGGGTTAACAAAAACAAGTTGTGGTTCAATTTCAGGGTAATATAAAATAATTGTGCTATTGTGAAGAAATTTTAGAGCTATTTCAACATTATTTTCAGACATGTAAAGATCTTCCTTACAACTTTGAATAACTTCATCTTTAGTAACAAAACCTTTGTTTTTTGTCTTTTCTTCCAAGTAGAGCTCAAACACAAAGCAACGCATTGGGACTTCTATTTCCATGGTAACCTCTGTACATTTTGACATTGTCTCTAGAATTTTTCTACTATTTTTTGTCCTTTCAACCAAATCTTCTTGTAGTGTATCAACTGGATGTATGACAGAATTTCCATATGCTTTAGAAATGATACGACATTCTAAATGAGGCAATATATTCGTTGGAGACATTAATTTGTCACTCATCTCCACCACTTTTGTCTCAGCATCTTTTTCATTGGTTCTTTCAATCAGTACATCATAATGAGTACCCAGAACAAAAGACATTGAGTGTTTAGGCTGATGTTTCACAAATGGGATATCAATTCGTTTTTGAACTGATGCTGATGAAACAACGGAATTGAATATTTTGCGATTTGAGTATTTCATTTTCTCATCACATTTAAATTCTTGTCCATTAATTCGATACATAAACTCAAACTCCTCATCAATGCCTTTAGAAATATCAAGTGTGATGACATTAAGAGTAGCTGCTCTAGTAAACACTGGTAGCAGCTCTTGGTATGCTGGTTGACCACCAGAGTCAACAATGTACACCCACTTCTCACTTAACTGAGCTCCTGCTTTAGGTAGAAGATCAGCAATTTTCTTAAATTCATCCCCAGGTCTTGGTGCTTCACAATCAGCAGTTTCCTTAGAAACAGGATTGTCATGCTCCTCTGGTGTTTCTTCTTGCTTATCCTCTGATTCTTTTAAAAATGGCACAACTAATAACGATTCACTTTGCTTTTGTTGAGCAGCATTTTCTGCAGCTTCTTTTAAGCTTGATGCTAATTTCTCCCGCAATTCATCTGTGGTAATTTCCTTCCATGTCTCTTCACCAGCAAAAGCTATTCTAAGAGCTCTGATAGCTTTACAAGCTATTGGTGTACTGTCAGTATTGACAGGCTTAAAGACTATAGAATGAGGAGTGAGGCCAAATGATTGTATTTCAGCTTTGGAATCTGAAGAGATGTCAGGATCAGTAGGTGGTGAGATAGTGGCTGAGGGAGTATTGGTTTGTGAATCAGTTTGAGAATAGGTTGATTGCTTCAGTGGTGGTTTATTAAGCAGGAGATGTTGTGCACAAGTTTTACCAGATCCAGCAGGACCAATCATGAGTACACGAGTAAGTGTCAGCTTCATAACACCTTCTTTACACCACTGCTCTAGAGTACCTACATGCAGGCATACACTGACAGCTAGGATTGTCCATTACACATGCAAATAATTTATTATTACTAAAAGTGAACCCTTTTTGTGTAATGAGTATTAATCACTGTAATACTATTGGATTGTAACCATTGCTGTAGTGTTATGCTATTATTATTATTATACTTTATAGTTTTATGGTTTCATGTATGAGCATGTGATAGTGATTCTTTATGACTAGTCTTCTCAGTAATTCTCTCTCTTTCTCTCTATCTCTCTTTATCAACTCATTTTGTTTGGAAAACATTACAGCTGAAACTAAAACAATACAAACTGAAGCACTAAAATCAGCTTAATTTGCATTGTAAAATACCTGATCTGATCAGATCTTCAATATAAAACTTGCTTTCTACTACAAAATGATACTATTATTTTTATACTCTTAAATTTTATTTTTGTCATACCTGGTGTAATGGATATATCATCAACTGGTGATGGTAGTACAGTATGTGAACTGACATTATCAGGTATAGACTGACCTAACGTATTGAGATATAATGACTATATTGATCACTGATAATGTACACACACACACTCACCTAACTGGTGTAATATAGAGGTAGCAATATCTGTTAGTGTATGATCTTGTTGGTTTATTAATACATGACATATATCAATAAGATACTGCTCTGGATTAAGAGAGGATTCCAACTGTCCACGTAATACACTCATCAGTTTCATTGCTTTAGTATAATCAGTCACTCCCATTACAAGTACATCATCAACTGCTTGTTGTGGTATCAATCCTTTAGCAAGTAATTCAGTTGTTATTTTGTAAAGATAGTGTGAGATTTTATCAGTGAGTTTAACAGAATGAGTCCTTAATATATTTTTTGGATTACCTGCAGTAAGATATCAGTTAATGAGTGCTGTATTAAGCCCAACATACACGGGGCAACATGTTGAATGCAACATTGAAGCAACATGTTGTATTCAACATGTTGCCTCGTGTATGATAGCAAATTTGTTGCATGCAACATCCAAGCAACATGTTGCTTCAAACATCAAAGGTAACTAGGCAACACATAAGGAATGCAATAATAACTTCAGCCTTTTATTCATAATAATAATTATTATAAAAATAGCAAGCAACATGTTTCCCCTTTTGTTCAACAGTGTGCAACATGTTGAATGCAACATGTTGTTAACGACCTGGGGGCGAAGCCCCCAGGTCTTTCCTATACCGTATAGCGGGAAATTTTGGAGGGAATTAAATTTGGCGAATTTGGCGTTTTGATAGCCATTCGCCAAAATAAAATCCGCCATTTTGAGCCTTTATACGCATGCTCAATGGCACATGGCCACTAATTCGCCAAATTAAAATCCGCCAATAGCCAAAATTTAGCAATTCGCCAAATTTTACTCCCTCCAAAATTTCCCGCTATACGGTAATCATAGATACTACAGCGTATTTCAGCCCACTTGGATCACGGAACAACCTTTCCGTATGCAAGACACTCCCTCTTCCCAATTAAAAGTACAGGTAGGTGTGGATACGGAACGGAAAAAGTGATCCAAGTGAAGTGAAAGACGCTGTATGTAGCATCTATGGCCTTAGCAACCATCCGCCCACGCTCCTTTACGTGAGTGGGTGTGGCCACGGCAAACAAAATGGC